CATCCACTGTTACTTAATTACTATTAAGGCGATGCTGGACTTACCGACGGAACATCATTTCGTATTTCTCATGCCATTTCATTTTCCTTATACAGAATAAAAAATTCTTCTCCAGAATAAAAGGAAAAACACAAATAAATATTGAAAAGTACAAACCGCATGAGAATCCTCCAAAAAATGTAAATTACAATATCTTTATTTTTAGACCGTACATGTGAGAAACACAATCAATACTAGAAATTTAAATTTAATTTAAAAGCCTATTACGGTCAAAGCTGGATCTTAGTTGCTCTAAAATAATTCAATCTTGAATTACTAATATATACTATATATGTACTTGCATATATACCATATTGTAGTCTTTTTCAAACTGCGCGCCGAATTATTTTTCCGGACTAAATAAATGCAATTAAAACTACTCTAGTAATCGCGAATTAAATTGACAAGCAATTTAGTAATTTGATGCTACCATCAAGCATCATATATTATAAGATGTTAATAAGTTAAAAAACTGTTAATAAATTTATTGCGAAAAAATATTACCTCGGCCGGGAGTCGAACCCGGATCTCTTGCATTCCGTGCGAGCGTCCTAAGCCTTTAGACCACCGAGGCCTTAGTAATATTCCTCGCAATAATCAGTACAAATAAGGAAAGGAAACAACGTCTTTCTTTCAGGTGACGTAATCTAAACAATATCTTTATTTTTAGACCGTACATGTGAAAAACACAATCAATACTAGAAATTTACAAATGTAAATTACAGTTTTCTATTACCATGTAGATAATTCTTTCTATTATATTACAAGTTGAATTATATTGTAAATTTGTTAACAAAACTTTATTTAACTAAATTTTCGTTGTAACTGTTAGAAATCATCAACCTCACATCTCTCAACAAAATGGGAAGAAGTAGTTTGAAGAAGAAAATAATATTGACTTTTAGAGAGGAAATAAAGAACAGGAATAACTTTGTTGACTTTTATAATTTCATTAATTGACGAACAATACAAGTAATTATTATCGTGCCTTTCTTTCTGAAATGTTTCTGTGCTGTATGGGTGGTGTTATAAAGATATTTAATGTTGTAGAAAATATAAAGATGTAAAAATGAGCAAGTTTTGTAAAAATATATTATAATGATTCAATTTTTATGATAGGAAATGTTATATTGAGAATGATCTGATGACAGATTGAAACGTCTATGTATGAATTCTTGTAAGATATTTTAATAAATCATATGATGATGTTAATTAGCGCTCGTGGAATAAGCTATTTTTTGTTAATTTTGAAAAAATATACTTTTCAACATTTGACTATAATTTATAAGATTATCATATGAGATCTTCAAATTATGATTTTGAAGCTTACAAAAGAAATGGCATGAGAAATACGATTTGAGTGTACATAACCTCGCATTTATGTGATATAAAGGATCAGCATCAGAGCAAGAAATTAATACTGTAATTAATTAAATATTATCTAACTTACCTAATTTTCAATTAATTGTTATAACATCAGCCTTTTACTCTCAGAAGTAAAAGAAATTCCAACTTTATCACTCATCATATGCACACAGCTATATATATGATTGCATTACATATATACATTCTGTCAAGAAAGTACCGGGAATTTTCAATTAAAACAACATTTTCACATAGAATCATCAAAATTTATTGGGTCGCCTTCAAAATAGGCTCCATTTGCTCCAATACATCTATGCCAACGGCACTTCCAATCATCGAAACATTTTTTATAGGCGCTTTCCGGGATGGCCTTTAGCTCTCGCGCCGAATTTTGTTTTATGGCTTCAATCGACTCAAAACGGGTGCCACGAAGCGGCAATTTTAGTTTTGGGAAGAGGAAAAAGTCACAGGGGGCCAAATCCGGCGAATACGGTGGTTGCTGAAGCACGTTCGTTGAGTTTTTGGCGAGAAAGTCGGTCACAATCGTAGCTCGGTGAGAAGGCGCGTTATCGTCATGCAAAATCCACGAGTTGTTCGCCCACAAATTTCGCCTTTTGCAACATTTTCAATGCATCGGCACACGAAAATTCATTTGCAACACAAAACTTTAAATAATGTTTTTCTAACGAATAATCAAATTTTTTCAGTTTTTTATAGTTTTTATCTAAGTTTCATGTGGACGCTGTCTAACGTGAAAAAACAAAAGTTTTTATTGAGCTCTCATCAGCTCTAATTTGCTCTCATTGAGCTTAGGCTATTTTTAATGTTAATTGGTGCTTTGAAGCTATTTAAATAAATTGAAATTAATTAGAAATAAATTGTATTCTTTGAGATCGAGCTAATCTCTTATTTACGCTGAGCTCTTATTACTGCTCTTCTTTGCGTGTTATCTTTATTGGCTTTTTACGCCCCTGAAAATTATGTTATCGCTCTTAAATAAATATGTTGTCATAATGTTAAAATGTTTTTATTAAAATATAATTCTTTGAATCCTTATATCTATCTTACTTTCTACGTGTTATTTAATAATGTTAATAATAATAATAAAATGTCTTGGTATGTTTTATATTCGGGGTGATTTTATATTATTTGGAGGGCTCTTCGTGCTGTCCTCTCTTTTGGGTAGGTCCTTTCGTTGAACCTCCTCTCGGTTATGGCTCCTTGGCCTCCCCGTTGTCGGCATCCCTTCGGCGTGGCTCTGAGAATATTAATTAGTTTTGTTTCAGTTTCGGAAAATTGAGGCGATTGGAATCGTCCTCAGCAAATCTGAGTGGCGGG